TGAGTTTGTTTGTCCGCGACCTCAGCAGCCTGAATCTCCTGCCAGAGTGCAGCAGCTTAACCACTCGGTGTCCTGGGTGTGAGAAATCTTGTAGCTATCTTGAGACAGCGAGTGCTGTACAGGTCCTTCACGGAGGGAAGAGGATGTCTGATGATTTTTTGAGCCATATTAATGACCCTTTGAAGTGGCTTTTTGTGTGCCATGCTGCAGCTGGAGAACCACACAGAGTTGCAGGATGTCAGCATGCGTTTAATGGAGCAACGGTAGAAGATGATCAGTCTGTAAATCTGTAAAATATGAAAATTATGTGTCAGATTTGAGGTCGTTTCGGGAGTACATCCAGGAATCATTTTCCTACTTAAATGTGAAAATAAACAAATATTCAATCTGTTGGTGAAGCATGAAAGAAATAAAGTGATTCTTTACATGTTCGTGTAAAGTAGCTGGAAGTCATGTGACTTCAGACACAGTAAATTTGGGCAAATATAAATTTAAACATCCAATTCTAGCATATAATTCTGGTGGTGACATATTCAAATAAGTTCTACTTACATATAGTTGTTTGAACTGATGCTCTCTGAATCTGCAGATGTTTGGAAATGGGTTCAAGAGACTTACCCAACTTTTGTAAATCTAAAATTCTCCTTCTTACATCTTTACTGGGTTTCTTTGACTTTATGATTGTTATAAGCACTGTTCAATCTGATTACTGTTGTCAAAGAAAGTTTCTTTATGCTGGCGAGGAGAAACTACTACATGAGGTCAATCATGACCACTAACAAGAAATTATAAGACCTTGGCTTCGTCTAGTTAAACCCCATCACAGCGTAATGGAATCTCAACAGTGATAAGAATTTGGACAGGAACCCCCAGATAAAGGTTTGGAGGTTTGGACCAGCGTGTGGTGAAGTTGGGGAGGGGGTGGGTTACATAAATGGGAGTCTAAAAGGCAGAATAACACAGAGAGATTTAAAGTTCCCAGAGTGAAGGCTGGTTGCCTCAGAGAAGTTGAGCAAGAAGCTGATTAGAACAGAGCAGTAATGTCAGCATTGAGTTTGACAAACATGATATAACATGTGGACAGCATCAGAAACAATGTAATTGTCATGACCCTGTGCCTTCTCAGCTGACTCTGTCATGACGACTCCAGCCCCTGGTTCAGACACCTGCAAGCAATCGTCTCATCACCACGCTCACTTCTCAAGGCGGCTGCCGAGAACGCTTCTTCGCTGGATTATTGTGTAACACTCGTCAGTGTCATTGCAAGTCTGAGCTTTTCCACGAGTTACTTGTGTGCCCACGCAACTTACCTGCACCTGGTGTCTGTGTGTAAATAAATTGTGAAACTTTAGAGACGGTCTGCCTCCGAGTCTCTCCTAAGCCTGACAGTAATATTATATCAAAACTCATCCAGTTAGTGCATCTACCTTTATATTCAAATTTAGCTGTAATGTTTAGACAGAAGTGCTAACCAGTTTTAAAATTATTGAAATGCAAAAGAAGTTATTTTACACACTAGAAGGAGAAAGCAGACTCAGTGTCATGTGTGGGCTGTGTGCAGGCTGGAGTGGTGGTAAGGAGGACCCAAAAGTACTAATTAACAAAAACAGAAAACTGGCTAAACTGGGAATACAGAAACTAAACTGGCAAGAAGATGGAGATCACAACACAAACAAAGGAGAACTCAGGGCCTAAATACACAGAGGGAGCAATCAGGGAATGGGAAACAGGAGGGAAACACAGCTGGGACAAATCAGGGCTAACGAGACAAGGGAAGCAAAACCAGATACATTAACATGAGACATGGAGTTTCAAAGTAAAACAGGAAACATAACATGGAGACGTGGACTTGACACGGGGACACAGCAGACGGGAAAAGAGCAACTACACAGAACAGAAACCAGAAGGCAGAACTCTGACAAAGAAACCAAAAGACTATGATAAATAATCTCAAAATCAAAGTTCAATAATAATGTAAACTCAAAACTCTGGGTCAATGACGAAGGTCTAACACTCAGCTCTCATATGTGAGTTTGTGTATCTGAATAAGACCCCAGCTTACAAATCCAACAACTTCTTAAAGTTGCACTTTATATGTTTAAAACTAAAACTTAACTCTGAAGTAAAAGAAAATGTAAAGTTAATGCTACTTTTTAATTAAATGTACAAATGAAACTGAAAAGTTAGATTTTGTTGTACACAAAGAAAATGATGACACGGTGGAGAAGTTTCCTTGAATCGTATCTGTTTGATTTAAAACAGTGTAACAAAATGACACTGTGGGGCTGTACAAAGGTAAAATAGCAGGGAAGTGAGTAAATAAATAGATAAAAATAAAACGAAGAAATACATTAATTATCCAAATACTTAGAAAAAACATTATGACTGCCACATCTCTGTTGTAAGTGGGCAGGATGGTACAGTTTCTACAAGCAGCATCAGCTCTGATTTCTTGTTTTTACTTTAGGGTTTGACAAAGAAAACTCAAGAACATTTTTTCACATGATACATTTATTTAGATAACATACAAATGTATAATGTTTAAACATATAATTGATTAACAGTAATGAATCACTGATCAATATCAGGAAAGCAAAAGACATTCTCTGTTTACAACAACATTGTGCCAAATTAATTTAATGTTCTCTATTTTTGCAGCAAACTCATCTTCTTGTATAAGAAAGTTCTCACATTCTTCAACATGTGCGAACAGATGTTAACGATTGGGCTATCGGGCGATAATCTCTTCACCATTTCCAGCTGACGAGTGCTTTGGTCATACATTTCCTCAAAACCTGATGTTGCTATTCTGTACATATATTTTGCCTGAATGAGAAAAATAAAAGTTTTAGCAGAATCACTAAATCAAATCACTAATTATCCGATCACTAAAGGTATGCTGATGTTATTGGAGTCTTTTGTTAGAATTAAACACTTTCTCAGCCAAAATGTGAGTAACTTGGAGACTGACTAACTCACCTTTAGCCTTTGTTCTTCTTGTATTGCTTTCTGCAGGGTTTCCTTGAATAGTTTCTGAAAATTTCCCAGAAAGAAGGAGAGCATAGTGAGTGTGACAGCCGGTTGAAGAATACACTGAAAACCACAAAGGTTAAGGAAACATTAGCATTTACCAGTTGCTCCTTGTCATTCAGTGAACTTGAGAGATCAAACAGTTTTGTGATTGTTTCCTGTCTATATTTGTCTTCTGCCTGATGGGGAAAAAGTAGCACATTTAAATTTACTAGATTATTCTGCATCCTGTACACTGCAGTTACTATACTTTCAGTATATCACTATAGACAGTTCAATGTAAAATGCACTCATTAAGTAAATACACACAGCAGATTTTACAAACTAATTTGGAGCCTGAGTGACCCACCTTCCAACTTTCTGCGTCTTTTATCGCTGTTTTCATCTGCTCAAGCATCTATAGTCCATTTCAAATAAAGAAAAAAATGACAGCAGTTAATGAGCTTGTAATTGTACATGTACACAGAAGTGTGTAATTGTTGTATCATAAAAGGGAAATCAGAAAGAATGAGATCACCAGTTGGCCCTGAGGATATAGGGAACTTGCGACTGAAACGAGACACAGCAGAGAGAAGATGAGAAACAAGCCTCTGGCACCAGCTGGTCCCCGGGTTCTGGAAAAATCTGCTGCTGCCATCGCTTGTAAAAGTGGAACAAGTGCTCAACTTGAGAAAAAGTTGAGAAAACAGAGAAATTTGGAGTAAATAAGGAACAATTGTGCTAATTAAATTTTTTTTTATTACATATATACGTATATCTATCTATCTATCTATCTATCTATCTATCTATCTATCTATCTATCTATCTATCTATCTATCTATCTATATATATATATATATATATAGATACATATATATATAGATAGACAGATATATGTCTTCTTACCTGCTGTGTGAATTTAGGAAGAGCTGCTGTACCGTACAGGCGAAGACTGAAAACATAATGAGATAACATGCTGCAAATGCTTTGTATGCAATGTGACTTAACTCAGCCCACCTCTCACACGTGTGAGCAGCCCTTTCACTTTTGTTTTTGTCTTTTGTTTTTGTCTAGTCTGCTTTATAGGAATAGAAGCCCATCATTTATTGTTAGGACATAACATGACAAAACACGTTTTTCTACTTCAAGCTCTTCCCTTGAGTGTTTAATAAGTGCCAGTAAAGTTTGGATTATATTACCTATTTGAGCCATTTCCTTTAATTAAAAATTACAATTAAAATCCAAGCAGATAAAAAGCTATAATGAATATATTCTGATGGCACTTTTTGTAATAGAGGTGTCAGTACTGATAACTGAGTCTGTTCTCTGGTGAAATGATAACTAGTTCAGTCAGTTTAAAATTGTGAATTCATGTATTTTAGCAACTAAACAGGGGAGTGCAGATCTGCAAAAATGTCTTTATCAGCTGATCATTTTCCACTGTTACTTTTAGACAAATGGGTTTGATGCACATAACAGACCTTCATCAAATCACCATTTGAAACCAACATCTTTGTATGCATGAATATATGGGTTAATCGGTAGTACATAACTACATGCAGTATTCTACCATATGTGAACTTATATCACTGAAAGATTATACTGACTACTAAGTACAATTTTCCTATTGACAGATACACATAAAAACAATTGCACAGTTATAGCAATAATACATAGAAAAAGCAGATCTGACAAGTTATGGAATGCTTCAATGATTATTATCTTGTTAGTATCATGTTTCTGTAAGCAGACAGGGAGAACTATGTGGTGCCTACTTATATTTGTTTTCTTTTGGTACAGTACGACTCAGTAACTCTCAACTTGCTATACTAGTTACATACTTCTAATTCTTTCAGTTTAAGGGAAGAAAGAAAATAGTATATAGTATGCTTTTATAAAGCATGTCTGCTATATGCATTCGAATGATAGAAGATGAGGAAAGAGTAAAAAAAAAAAAGTACACACAGAGCAATTAGTATGATGTAATTTATTTCAACTAGGACAATTATTTAGGGCTAGCCCTCATTGTTGTTGTTCAGAATTTGAAGTTAAATAGAAGGGGGAAAATAACAGACGATCCAAGACACAAATACAAGAGAACACAGTAAGATAACAATATGTGAATACAAGTTTCTATTTTATTTTTTTAACACAAGTTAGTAAAAAGTAGTTTTTTCTAAGTTTGAGTTTAATACCACCTGGATTACCAGTCTAATATGCAAACTGCAAAAATGGCTGCTTCCCAATGAGAACGGCATAGATAACATATGGCTGTCATTTCTCTAACAGAAAACCACTCAGTCCATTCATATTTAATAATTCTTATTCTTATTATTTGTTTCATATTATTATTTATTTTAAAGACATTATACAGTAAGTTTTAAAGTTTATTCCATTGACTTTTAGGATGATTTTCATGTTTTCCACTTTTGTTTCCCCATTTTCACCATTTTTCTTCTTCCTCTCCGCCTATTGTGATGCTGGTTCTCACAATAAAGCGTCTGAAACTATTTACTACGTCCATCATTGCAGGAAAATCATCAAAAAATGATGATGTCTTTATTAGTTCTTCCAAAGATTGAAGAAACTGTAGTTTTTCATCAAGTTCACTTGCTTGTTTCTTCTTGTATTCTGCCTGAAGAAGAAAACAACATTTATTTTTAGAAAAAGTCTAATTTACCTCTACAGTCAGACCGAGTCACAGTTCTCTTAGTGTGCACTGTATCACATCACTGCAAATGCACTGATACGCAGTTGTTTCCTGCATCACCAAATTTGACTGATAACATGCAATAGACATGAAACTAACCAAACGAACTTCCGTCCGGCTGCTTTTGCTTTTTCTGATTTCCTAAGTTGATCTAAGAAACGCTTCTGAATTTTTTGAAATTTGCAAAAACAGGATGCGTCAGTTCAAACTGTGATTTGCTTATAATGACTTACATAGTGTCTGTAGTTTTACATTTGCAAATAAGTACCTTCAGCAACAATTAATTCAGCAGTGACTTTGTTCTTACTTTCGTCAGTGAATTTGTGCCATAAACCAGGGACAGCAGAAAGATGAGGATTAAAACGTTGGTGTTTCTGACACCAGCCAGTCCTCTGCTTCTGAACGCTGCTGCTGCCATCACTGTGGAAATAAAAACAGCTTTTGAGCTTGAGAGAAAATGAAAGAAAATAAAAGAAATAAACAAATAAAGAATCAAATCTATGTTTCCTCTTGTTATGTTATTAATATATTATAGAAAATCTCTTAAGTATAAACCATCATATGGTGTAGTTTTGCTGATCTTACCTGTCTGCTGAAAGGACAAAGAGCTGTTTCACTGTACAGGTGTAGACTGAAAACACAAGGGAATCACACGCTACATACTTAATGTTGTCCTGGTGTAATTTCCCTCTGGTCTGTGAGCTGCTCTTTCACTTTCATTTCACAGGTGTGATATGATCTACTTTACAGGAACTGAGGCCCATCCCTATGACTTTAAACAGTCCAAGAACATTCCACATATTTAAGCTTTATCAAGATCCATGGCAGCAGGTGGCAGAAAAAAAACTCTGTTTTTAGGACACTGGAACAGCATATAGAAATGAAGCAGAAGTCAATCCAGTGTTAGAGCCAGCACCAAGTTTGTTATATATGACACCAGTCCATAGTCCAGTTTTGTAATAATTCAAATTTTAGATTTTTAATTTAATATTCATTTAATATTTTTCAGATAATAAGTAGTATATCTTAACAATAATGTGGACATTACAGAGGACTGAGCAATATACGCAATAAACTGTTGTCTTTTCCACTTTTTGGTCATTTTTTCTTGCTGAGCCTAAGCAAGCACATGCCTGTAAGTAGTTGCTATCCTTTGTTTTAAGCTTTCCCGCAATAATTTTGTGTAAGAGTTCAGAGTTTTGTGTGAAAAACGGCTGCGATGCTAACACGTTAGCCTGTCTAGGGGATTTCTTATGTAACGTTAGCATGAAGCCAACCGCTAATTACTTGGAGCAAATTAATCAGTGAAGGTGTCAGGATATGTTGATGTGTGATGTAAATGGTAGCATGGCTCAGTGGTAGCATGGTAGCATGGCCCAAGCATGGCTCAGTGTTTGATATTGAGTAAAAAGTCAATTACAGCTGTTCTACTTTTGTGTAAATTTCACAATGTTCAAGATATAGGGGTAATGATAACAGTTTTATTAAGTTTTTATTCACATTAAAATGTTTTTTTACCATATAATCCATTAATAACTGTCAACTAGTTAAACACAAAATTTCCATGATTTGTATTGATTTGTATTTACATCAGAGCTCTCTTATAAAAAGTTCAGTGAAGCTGCTGAATATCTTTGTCAGGTTCATTTTAAACATGACTTACTATTGTGTGTATTGTGTGAGTGTATAAAACGTTTATACAGTCATTGGTTGCAACATAGATCAGATGGTGTTGCCACCATGAGGTGAAAAGAGAAATTACACTTTAATAATTCTGTTTATGGTGGTCAGCCATGAATTATAAATTTTAAGGTAGGAGTGAAGGGCCTGACCTGGAACCGTGTTTGGCTGCCTGGCTGGACTTTGGTGTAAGACAATGTTTAGTCCACATTGAGTCATGAGTTGTATATATTCTGGACAAACCCATCGATGCCATCACTCTTATAAAAGAAAAAGAAAAAAACCCCAGAACATAAAGTAAAATTAAAGATTTAAGAAGGAATTTTGCACTGTGACTCTTTCTTGTTTTGTTTAAGAAGCTCACTTTCCAAACCCTGGTCAATGATGCACTCAGAGATTAAACCGCTTTTATTTGTAGTTGACTCGGACGACATCTTCCAAAGATCCAAAGAACGCCAAAGTCCCGACCATTTAGTTCTACATTTCTACAACCATACAGTTTTTTTTCTAGTGAATGGTATTGTAAACTTGTAAAACATATAAATTACACATATTTAATAAACATTATTTCATATTCATAAAATTAAACGCAAAGTAAACTGCAGATTGATTCTTTCCTGTGTAAATAAATGTATAAAACTGTGACTGTAGGACGTGTCCCTTCATTATTTTCAGATTAATGTTAAAAATACAAAGCGACAAGTGAAACCTAGTTTTTTTGTTTTTTGCACTTGTGTGTGTGAACTAAATGTTAAAATAATATCAAATATAAACTACATTTTCAGTGTAATTTGATTTTAAATTGTTATTTAATTTAAATGTTTGTCATATTATTCCATAACAGTGCGATGTAAACGGTAACATATTTAATGATGGACTTTGTCCTTTATTATAAAACTAACTTTGTGTCTTCTTCACTTCTGCTGTTTGCAGGCTGTTTGTGGACATCAAATTGAGCCGCTTCAGAAACGACAGCTGGCACAAAAGCTCCGTCCTGACTGCCTTTAATAAAGACACGGTTGCTGCGTCTCATCCAGAGTTTGACGATGATGATCAGAAAGTAAGCAGCTGTGTTTTTGCACTACGCAGCACACTCATCTCTGCTATAGTTTGTACATTTGCACCTGAACCTGTGTTTTGTTCTGTGTGTGTCTGTGTGCAGGATGCCCACGAGTTCCTCGTCTGTGCTCTGGACGTGCTCCAGTGTGAGTTCTCTAAGCTGCAGACAGAAGCAGCTGCCTTGGACAAGCCTTACATCTGTCCAGTTAGAGCTCACAATGGCTTCAAGATATTGAGCACAAATAGCTGCAACAGGTAGGAACAAAGTAAACTTTAAGTGTTTTCATGATGCTGCTGATATTTCTTCACTGTGAGTCTGTAACCTCTGAAATGATGTGATTCGGCAGATGTGGTGTGCAGTTCTTTGGGCGGGAGGACTACCTCCACCTCTCCCTGGACCTGGTACATCGAGGCTCAGTGAGACTCCATTCTGTGAGCAGCCTTCCACAAATATGTAATTCATCTGTGAAAGAGTTCAACTCTAATGCACCTGTTCCTCCTGCTCCCTGCTGCAGTTGCTCATAGTTGGACTCATAGTTGGACTATGAGTGCCAGTGTGGAGCTAAGAAGCGAAGAGGAGCTGTCGTTCTTGAACCTCAGATCGGTCCCCAAAGGCCTCAAACCACCACGGTTCAGTCGGTGTCGGGCTAACAGTTTCTTTCATGTCATGTCCTCCTATTGTGTGAAGTTGCACTGGGTTGAGAGTGATTGTGTGTGTCACATTTGCAGTGAGCCAAATGGCTGTAATGGGGTTGGACGAATTGGAGGGAGGTGTAATTGACTGCACTCATACGCTAGTCAACTTATAGCCCACACTACAAACACTGCTGTGTTATTTTGTCTCTCTGTGCAGGTATGTAATGTGACAAAACCTCGGATGACCTGATATGTTTGGGATGGGTGGGTTGTGCGCTGTGAATTATATAGTGAACCGTGTTATTTTGTCTCTCTGTGCAGACCAGGGCGTGTAATATGCCGCAGCCTAAAGACAGCTGAGCTGCAGAGGCCAGTGATCACTGGCTATCTACTTACGGGGTGGTGGGTCTCAGAGGACAACTGCTACCCCTGTGGAAGTGAACAACGTGTGGAGTGCAACTGGCTTTGTGGCATAGCTGGCTCTGGCCTTGGACTGTGTGTTTTTACTTTGTACACAAATAGGACACTGGACTGTTTTATCTTTTATTTTTTGATCACTGTGTTAATACATTACCTTTAAGAATTTTACTGTTGACTGTCATGTTTTGAGAGAGAGAGACAGAGAGAGAGAGGGAGAGAGAGAACAAGAGTGAAAAGCAGAATATGAGAAGCTGTGTTTGCTCCAGCATAACATGACAGTAAAGGCATAAAAAAATGTTTCTCAATGGCAAATAACAACAACATAATGCAGTTGTTACACCTATTTCCTGACATTTCCTGTTGTTTATCCGCTGGTCTCCTCTTTCTAGTGCAAAGTGGGCGATAAACAAACAAGAAAGACGGGACTAGCGGCAGAAAAGCCGATCATTGATCAGTTTCATGTTTGAAGTAATAACAGGAAAGGGGGGGGGGGAGAGAATGAGAGAAGTAGATGCAACTGCGCAGCAAAAACACAGAATAACTCCAGCTTTGTGTCTATTTGCTGAAGCTGAAGTACGGGACAAATCGCTTCCTTTTCACCTCAGTATCGGACCGATACCAATACGTAATATCGGATCGGTCCATCTCTAGTACTAAGTCACCATAAGAAGTGTTTCTGAACTAAAACAGCTCAGTGCGCGCTCCTGACGCAGGGCAAACAAATTCTGTCGGGGATAGACAAAATTCCAAGGTTCCCCTGAAGTAGACTGTGATCTGTAAGCCGCCAAAAAAAACACGAAGACATCCCACAAACCTGAGATGGACTCGACTCACCTCCCAGCAATACATTTCTCTAGCCTGAATCGGTCCAACAACTTTGGAATGTATTCCCGGAAATGGGAGAAACCGGAAGAGACAGCGTGGCACAGTGAAGAAAGTGCAGTAACCTGACAGGTGTGGGCCTCATCAGAACAACAGACACCGCTCTTAGAAATTGTAAGTAAATTTTCTGACAATCCTCCACCAGTTATCTTAAAACTTCATCGTAAAATAATCTTTTTGCTTTCTTTATGAAATGACCCATGTGAAAGCGTGCGCTTTGAGCCCTCTTCGGAATATTTTTAACTCTTTGGTCACACCCTATGTTCATTGGCGTCGAGGGTTGCGTTTTGTTGCGGAGATTCCAAAAATATCTTCATATCAGCCATAATATCAGCTGGTCAGAGTTACTCAGGAAAAGAGCTTCACCGCTGCCCTTCCTTTTCCACAGTGTGGGAGTCACAGTATGGGCCAATCTATTCACAATTGTAAGAGTTCCTGCTTTGTCCAACTCGTGCACTGATGATTAGCTAAAACGCCATGACTGGGCGCAGTCGCTGGAGTTAAAGTGAGTGTTTTAGGTACATACATAGGCTGTGTAATAACTCGTAGTCTATATGTCCGCATCAAAGGTTTTTTTTGTTTATTTGTTTTTTACTAAATTCCACCAGTGATTACTCTGGCTGGTAGAACGAGTTTAGTTACCAAACCATCCCAAATAAAGTCATAAAAAATTAGTCTGCATAAATGAAATATAAATATACCCCGATAAAACAAAACAAATGGTTTAATGCACATTTATAAGAGATGCTAAGATCTACACAGGCCTACATACTGATTTATTCAAAATTAGCTGGCAGAAAGTGACAAATATTATTGTATAACATTTAGTTTATGAGATGAATCATCGTCAATTTGCAAATTCTGACATTTTGATGGTTTGGAGGAAGTAATTACTGAAGCTAACTGAGAAAGATCAATTGAAGAAAAAGAGTCCAAATAAATAATTATCAATGGTGCTGAAAGTAGCTATGCATAATGTTAAGTTGGCGAGATTTTTATAGGCTATTTTTTCTCTAATGGTTAAAATTGTAAATGGCCTGTATTTGTATAGCGCTTTTCTAGTCCCTAAGGACCCCAAAGCGCTTTACACATCCAGTCATCCACCCATTCACACACACATTTACACACTGGCTACACACTAGCCAGTGTGTAAATGCTACATTGTAGCCACAGCCACCCTGGGGCGCACTGACAGAGGCGAGGCTGCACTATGTTAGTACAAGGCATTGAAGAAGATAACAGTGGGTGAATTACAACCTTAAATTTAGTTACAGCACTTTACTGTGATGAAAATATATTTCCCACTGCTGTGTAATCCATTATTGTAAATGGAAACGATGAGACAAAAGAGAGCAGTACCTTAAAACACTGAAAGCTGCAGAGGTTTTGTCTCTATTGAACATCAAACAAGAAGTGTTGATCTGAAATCTGGTCAGAATGAATCCAAGTGCACCTTTCAGCCATTAATCTGGTTGGACTGTCACACTGACAGCGTAGCATAGGTGGGCTAACATCCAATCTGAGTGCAGATAACAAAGTGTGTACAGTAGTTGTAGTGCTGACCATCCTCGTCCACATCACAGAAAGGCGTGTGATGATGATAATAATAATAATAATAATAATAACAGCAGCAAGAACATTAGACAAACATTTTAATGTTGGTGAAATTACAGACACAATGATTTCCTGTTTATCTGTAGCGGGTCATGAAAGGCAAATCTATGACACATCTGTTTAACCAACACATTGAATCTAAAACATCGGAGACTGCCACTGCAACCATAAACAAGACATACGATAATGTATTAATTAGCTTGTCTTGTTTTCTTTATAACTCTTCTTCAATTGTACTGCTGCAGCCCTCACTGTTCAAACCTTTACTTTATTCTCTGTAATGCATAGAATAAAACTGTAGATAAACACACATGTTACTAATTAAAATAATAAGTTTTCTTTGGGTAAAGAAATTTTATTAACATGATTAGAACACCAGTAGAAACAGTGGGCTCTGTATGCTTGATTGAGAAAACCACACCGATGTTATTGTTTAATCACAGCAACAAAAATGTTGTGATATATGCGAGCTGGGTCATCATCAACCATCTCTGAGCTACATAAAAATGTTATGGTAGAAAATGGGAACATTATAATGATTGCTGTGAAATATAAGCTTGATATGTCAAATACCTTTGAAGATGCATTTATTTTAAAAATGGTCTGTTGACACACTTTCAGACCTTTCTTTTAAACATTTAACTCTGTGGCAATGTTTGGACATGTACATCTTTCTATAAAAATAAACCAGGATCTGTAATTTGGAACATATACGTCAAAAAATGTCTACATTTTTCCTAATTATAACATGGAGAAAACGTTGGCTTGAGCAAGTTGCACCACAAAAACAAAAATATCAGTAAATTATCCTTCTAACTTTTAGAATATTTTGTGCTCTGCCATCTTCGAATTTATGGTCCAAAGTTTGAATATACAGTATACAATGACTGCTGTTAATTTTGTCTTTGTACATATCTTTAAAAAAAAAAAAAAAAAGGCCCACCAAACCACTTTCAAGCCATTTTTATTCCACTTTGTAATTTGAGCAAACATTTGATCATGACTGTCTCAAAAACTACGAAAGAAAAATGCAGAAATATTCATATTCTACATATTTGCTTAATTCAGTTTGAAAGTAAAATGAAAGTAGCGTTTTCTTCATTTTGTGCCAAAAATGTCTTACTTACTGGGATACGTTTATGGCTAGATGTAACACAAGCAAAAGTAATGAAATTGATGAATTCTAATTTAGAGTGTTGGTGTTTGCAAGTGAATATTATTTTATGCATGAATCTTCCAGCGTGGTAGCCAATTATTCACTTCTAAAAACTTTTGCAAAGTTTTAATATTGTTTAAACTCAAACTTTATTAATTTTCTTTTTGCTTTTCTAAGAATTAAACTTTAACCAAATTTTGAATACTTGGCTAATTTCAGTAATTTTTCTTTCACAGGTAATCTGAAGGAAAACTATGAATATTTTCGCTCAAGTACATCTGGCAGCCCCCTTACCAACAGAAACACATCCTATAATCCAGTGTATAACTATCAATGACCTCAAAGAGCTCAAGAAATTACTGAAGGACAATAATGTTAATGGAGTTTACTCCTGTATAGAGTGTAGTGATTGGATAACCCCATTGATTGCTGCTGTTGTAAATAAAAACAAAAATATATGTTCTTACCTTTTGCATCAGGGTGCAGACCCAAATATACCTTCTCAACTCTGCTGCACACCTTTGCATTATGTCACACGCTCCAATGCACCACCTGATTTTGTGGATCTGTTGCTTGTGGCAAAAGCTAATCCAGATGGATGGATTCCTCCTCCGCAACAACAAATTTTCACACCACTGCAACTTGCAGCTATTGAAAACAGGGAGGATATCGTGAAAAGACTCATCTCTGCTGGTGCTCTGGTGACACTGCCGCCCATTAATGTGCCCATTAATGATCCTCAGTGGCTTATTAACAGTAAAAAAATATCTGAGATGATTAATCACCTTGCATCAAATGGAGATGAAGTGTGTTTCCAAATCAAACATTTTTTGGATGTGGAAATTGCTGTTGTTGAAAAAACACCTGACAAAGTGTTTAAAATGTTCAACAGTCACATGCTGTCAGAAGATCCTCGGCTCCATCTGACCATGATTGAAATCCTTTTTACTGTTACTGGGAGAGGAAAAGATAAATACTGCCAGGCGTGTATTAAATGGCTAAAGGAAACTGGAAATGTGAATACTTACATTGCAGGAGCAGCCAGTCGCTTTCCAAACATCCCTAAGACACATGTAAAGCTGGCAGTTGAAAGTTTAAATCCAGTCTTCTGCACAATGGATGAAATAACAAATGAGCATGCAGTAGCTATAGTTCCACAACTACTGAAACTGCTTTGCTTAAAAGAGAGACCTGACATCTGTGCATCAGTGCTACAAACACTCTATGTGATAACACAGAAAACAAAAGGCACAAAGGACTGGCACGTCAACTTTTTAGAGAACTTATGCAGAACAGTTGCCCCTTTTGTAAATGAGCAACACTCCACTAAGATCAGGATCTACACATACGGTATATTCGCAAACCTTCTGTCAGTTGAACAGAAAGCAAATATTTTAAAATCAGTGGGGATAACCTCAGTACCTGAAGACATACTGACATCTGTAGAAATGGAAATGAATGACAAGCTGAAAGAGGTGCTGAGAAGTCTGAAAGAATATCTGAACAAACCAAACTCAGAATGTGAGGGAAACACAGCCTCAACATCAGGCAGGAAGAAGAAAAAGAAGAAGAAAAAGCAAGAAAACCCAAATGATGAAGTTTCAACAGCAGCAACTGATCCAATAACCAAAGTTTCTGTTGTAGAATCAACTTCAAATCTAAAGCCTTTTGACTACAAGACCAATGAAAAATCAGAAAAACGAAACTGGCTTTCAATCAGCAAGAGGTGGAAGGATAAACTGGAAACGCTTGTTGGTTCAGATGACAGTAAAATATCCCGAATCAGAAGCATTATTTATGTGAATGATGAAGAATTCAGAATAGCGAATGGAAGCGATGGTACTGAAGTCTTCTTGGGGCTGAGAGAGGACGGCACAGAAGTTGCCATTAAGAGAATGTCTAAAAGCAAATACCAGGTCCTAAAGAAAGAAGAAGGAATCCTACGTCTCCCTGAACTCGATCATTCTTATATCGTACGATATGTTGATTTTCAGGAGGACGAGAACTTTGGATATCTTTGTCTGCAACTTTGTGAATGCACTTTGGAAGAATATATTATTGATGACTGTAACAACAATAAGAAAGATAAGGTTTTAAGGAAACTCGTCGAAGAATTTCTAGAAAGCCTAAAGGTGCTTCACTCTCAAAATCCAAAAATTATTCATCGAGATCTCAAACCCCAGAACGTTCTGATTGGTAAGACGTGTTTGAAATTCAAGAAAACAAACATTTTAATTCATATTTACCAGATATGTTTTTATTTCACATGATTCTTCCTGCAGATGTTACTGGGAGGGCAAGATTAGCTGATTTTGGCATAAGCAGACGCTTACTCAAAGACCAAACAACTTTACATACACGCAGTGCAGGAACCAAATGCTGGATGGCCCGAGAGACTTTTACAGAAGAAGAAAAAGAATCTGTGATATCATACAAGTCAAGCACTGACATCCAGGTAAAGTCTGCTACACAAACTTGATTAACTGAAAATGACTTGGTAAACATACCAAAACTGATAACATGTGTTATTACTAAGGTGGCAGGCATGCTGATCTATTATATCCTCTCTGGAGGCCACCATCCATTTGGCAAATCCTTTGAATGTGAGTTCAACATTCACAGAGGGAAGTACAGTTTGGATCACATTCAAGATGTGGTGACAAAAGATCTCATCGAGTGGATGATCAACAAAGAGCCAAAGGACAGACCCAAAGTAGAAGAATGCTTAAACCATCCCTTCTTCTGGACTTCTGAAAAGTAAGGAAGTCATGCTGATTGATGACTGATAAATCATTTTTCCTGATTACTGGAACAAGATGTATGATTTCTGGTTTCACTGTAAAACGGCGATAGAGATGTTAATGTTGGAAAAACCTGAGCCACAGTTGATCATCCAGGACGAACCTAGTTAAGCATGCATGCTAACATTTTCTGCTAATGCTAAATCCTTTTCCTACACTTTTGTTATTATATTAATAAATGTTCATTAATTCTTCTTTTGTTTATGTTTCATTTGTACTTTTTTCATTTATAAAGCATAATTTGAAATTTCCAGGAAAACTGAATACCTGAGAAAGATCGGTAACAGGGGCGAGGTTGCAAAATATAGAGAGGCTGACCAGGAGCTGATTGATTCTCTTGAAAAATGTGTTGTGGACGAATCCTTTAAACAGTGGAAAAATAAGGTAACTGCAAGATCACAGATCAAATGTCTATGTTCCTAAAATCCACTTCATGACTAATGTGTTTGTTGCAGTTTTCACAAGAGCTGGTTCGGGATATGGATGGCAGAAAGCCGTACCCTGAAAACATGCTGGCATTACTGCGCTTTATACGCAATCTCCATGAGCATTAGTGAGTTAAACTGTATGTATGTATGTATGTATGTATCTATGTATCTATCTATCTATCTATCTATCTAGCTAGCTAGAAAGAACCTTGCTTATCTTATTTACCATACAGTAATAAAACCTTCCTTGTTCACAGTCCCAAGGAAGCAGCCCAAATTGATGTTCTGGCATTGTTTCCTGATCTCTTTGGGTGTGTTTACACATTTGCAAAAAACCAAGGCTGGAATTTAGAGACACCATTAAAGGAAATGTTTCAAAGAGAAGACAGCGAGGATATTAGCACAGTTTTGATGATGCCATCTAAAAGCACGGAGGAGTCCCTGGGTGTCCCCGTTCAAGAGTCTCAACCCAGTGAAGTGAAAGTTGTCATCAGCCATAAAAAATAAAATAATAACTTCTAGTAGTAGCAGAGATGTCATGTTGGTGTGCCTCCTGCTGCTCTGTTAGTTCTTAAGGGATCACGACAGAAGACACTGATCTGCTGTGGTGATCCACATGTTTGCACATAGTTGTCCTTCCTTACACAACACTCCATTTTACCAGCACTAACATTGCAGTAACTTCAAGCTAGGTCTGCTCCTTAATGGAGCCACTACCAAGACCCTTAGACTGAACCAGCTAAATGGATTTTAGACACGATGTTTGATTTATACTTGTGTGAAATAAGTGCCTGATGTTTTGAAAAAGTAACTATTGATTTTTAAAAGTATGAGAGAAATAGATTAGAATTACAATTGTTTGAGTCTCTTTACTCTATTATTTTAATTTTTTTTCTTTTTGTGAGGGTGTGTACTGTATTTATACACAATTACGCTGCTTTTGTTTTTCTGTTTTTTTTGTGGTTGCTTATTGCTACACTTTATTTGTACTCAATTCTTTTTCTACAGTAGTAGAAACTACTACTACAGTAGTACAACATTATATTTTCAGTTAATCTTCAGGTTTAATTCTACATTATACGGGGGGGTATGAGGAACAGATATAGAGACATTTTGTTGACGTCTTCAACAAATACAAAAGTTTAAAAAAAATCTGTTTGTTTCTTCTTTTTTTTCACAATTATAGTTTTAAATACTTCCCATTCTGATTGTAAACAGAATAAATACGTTGGACATGCATTTTGTTTTGTGGAAATTTCCTCGGGCCTATGACAGATTCAAACTGTACAAACATGTATGTCACATAGTAATTGAGCCAATCTTTGTACTTAATATTAAGAACCACAAGTGGAATTAGCAAATATTAAGATTTTGAGATTTAAACCATGCAGGGTTTTTTTTTTCTAGCGAATGGTATTGTAAATTTGCAAAAAATCTACATTACACATATTTAAGAAACATGATTTCTTATTTTGTTTCTCATCATGTCTTCTAAAGCAAAATACAAAGTAAACTGTAGATTGATTCTTTTTGTGTAAATAAATCTGTAAAACGTGTCCCTTCATGGTTTTTTCTTGAATGTTAAATCTTTTCACCACAATACAAAGTAAGAAGTGAGGCCTATTTTCTTTTGTTTTTGTTATTTTGCACTTTAAAGGTCTGAGAACTAAAATATAAACTACACTTTAAATGTAATATGTTTTTAATTTTTATTTAATTGCAAATTTTATCTCATTTTTCCATAACAGTGTGTTATAAAAGATAACATATCTAATGACATTTAATGCCGTTATTGTAAAAGAAGATTTGTGTCTATTACCATTAGACCTTCTCCAGTATTTGTTTCATAATTAATTCTAACATCTATTATGTAAGATTTCATGCAGATTTAGTGTATTGGTCACATTTTAAGGGGATTGTTACTTTCTTTAATATTGTATTAAAATACGGATCTCTTTTTTTTTTTTTTTTTTTTGGTTCTCATCTGTTGACAGAGTTTTTATTCAGATTCAGAAGACTTTATTTATCCCCGAGTAAGGATGCCACGATTAATCGACTAGTCACGATTACGTCGACTATCAAAATCGTCTATCTATCTATCAAAAGACGCAGGAATAAGTAGCAGGATTTAAGAGTGTAATAACGGACTGAAACAGAAGATAGCAGCACTGCATGTACAAGGAACCAGCTGCCGTTAAACCCCGAAGAAGAAGAAGCTGTGTCCCAGAATTCATAGCGCAGCCCAGCTCAGTTTCCAACAATGGCGGCAGCTAGTTAGTTTTAATATTAGTCTTATTATTCTTTCTGGGTCACAAAATAAAGTTTAACATATTTTCAGGCGAGAATGTAGCTGTGGAAACCTCAAATATCTGCTCAGTTTGTCAAGACACCACATATTTTCAAAAGCTCTCCGACGTTTTCGGAGACGTCTGTTACCCACTAGCTCGATAGCGAGCCGGGGTTCAAGGCTCACTAGAGCCGTGAGAACACCGGACTCCTGGCAAATCGTTTTCAAACCCACCGCCGTCTTTCGCTACTCAGGTTAAACATATATAAGTCACTTAGATAACTTAATGTTATTGTGTAGCTTTTTTCAGTATTTTATTTGTTCCTGAGTAAATCGGCTGAGTTTATTAAACTCCACCGAAACAATCTGCACATTTCATTACAATTTAATAAACTACCATCTTGTCTTTATTGTTAGTTAGCACATACCTTAAACACTTCAAGCTGTAAGCTAATGATAGTTATTTAAGAGCAGATGCATGCTGGTGCAATAAACTGTCCGTTTTACGTACAATGGATGATGATCTGATTAGTCGACTAATCGCAAAAATGATCGGTGACTAGTCGACTATCAAAATAATCGTTTGTGGCAGCTCTATCCCCGAGGGGCAATTCAGTTACCACCATTGAAATTATTTCTTCTTTTTCACTTCTTTATTTAGCTCAGGATTGTCTTTCCTCTTCTTGACTTTAGGAACTGTTGAATTAATAGTTTTCTTAAATTAGAAATATTTCTCAGTCACCTTACAATCATGGGATCTCAGGCAACAGGCACAACCATTATACAAATACTACTTCTATTCTACAGAAAATATGGCTGGCATTGATGAAAGTGATAAAAAAGTAAAATATGATTTAATCTATTTGGATTTATCTTTTTAAGTTAAATATTTTTGCTCTAATACTTTTGTGGATACAAAATAATATGACAGGTCTTGAAGGAAAGTAACACATTTACTCTCATTTGGGGCGCCTGAGGATGGATCATTGAGTTTGCCACCTACCTTGTGTCCTCATACCTGGTGGTAATGGACAGCATGTTGCCTTATCAGCACTGAGGTCTTTTGTTTGATGGTTCCACAGTGCCTCCCTCTGGCCGTGATGAAGTATCACACCCCTCTGCGCTTTCTAATACAGGGAATGTCTAGAAAGCACAAACCTTTAATAATCACAGCTGAGATCATAAACTGTAGTTATCCTTCCTTCCTTTCCTTCTTCCTTCCTCTTAAGCACTTAAGGGTTGCTTGAGATGGCTTGAAGACTATCCCAGCTTTTACAAGGTAAAACTCAGGGTACACACTTTACAGTTCACAAGTCATGATCACATTCCCAATAGTGATTGTAATTCCCCAAAGAATCAACAATTAACCTAAAAAAGTGAGTTGTTGGACTGTGAGAGGGAGCCGGAGCACCCTCAGAGAACACAACATGCAAACAGCAGCCAGCAGATTCACATGCACGACCTTCTTGCTGTGAGGCAACAGTACCAACCACTGCACCACCGTGCTGACCTTAGAGTGCAGTCGTATGGTGGAAAATGTTACTGTGGGTGTTTTAGATTATATTACATACAGAAAAAAGTACTGATTTATTATTTTAGTGGGCAAAAGAGTCAAGATTGGACCTAAAGGATGTAAATGGAGAAGCACAGTGTATTTCTAATCAGTCTGAACACTCGACACAGCCTCATTCACACAGCTGCACACACATGATTAGGGGAAACTCAACGTTCAGAATCTTCTTTTTTCTTTCTCAGAGCAGAGATACAGAGAAAAGACTTTCTCTGTATCTCTGCTCTGTTTGTTTTTGACTTGAAACACTAAATAAAAGTTTTACTACACATCTGTCTCTATTGTTTAATCAGCAGCTGTAATACTAAACTGTCCGAAATTTAAAAGTCTACATTTAGTAGATTTAGAGATATTTATTTCACCACTTTTAGTTAATGATACTTTATAAACCTATTCTGCTGTTTAACAAAGACAGTATCATCATGTTTAAAGCACTTTTAAATCTGACAGCAGCACTCAGTTCTCCTGCACATGTGTGATCTTGGAGTGAACTGAAGGTTCAGATGCATCTCTCAGGTCCTGTGTGGAGACTTTGCTGGACTTTGTCTGTCTGTTAAAGATGTGATTTTCAGATGCTATTCAGCTGGTGTAGATAGTGGGGGTTTAGGTCTGAAACATCTTCTTTTGTCCTCCATTCATCCAGTTTCATGAGATAAATTTTTGGTACAAGGACTGGATTGAAAAACGACTGAAAAGAAGAAACTTTGAAAGAGTTTTAGAAGCCTGGAGGAAAAGCAGTGCTTGTTTAATCAAATGTAATAATACACATTGTTTAAATGTCCCAAAGTAAAGAGATCTCTCTGTGAACCTTTAATTCATCACCCTCTTGTGGCAGCAGCTGGCTACTGTTATTTGCACATGTGCATTGTGGTTTTTTATCCCGTTATAATTTAATACAAAACCCTTTAATTAAATTAGTGAGTTGAGTAATATGTGAAATATTAGTGTTAGGTAAGTCCCAGAGTTCAGTTTATTGGACATTAGCTACATTTAATGAGAAGATATGAGATCCAAATATATGCTTATGTCAACACATGTTCATTTGATAAAGTTTACTGAACAAATTTGAATCATCACAACAACCAAAATGTTAGCAACACATTAGTTCGTTGTTCACAGCATTTATGTTCGCAGCATTGAAACGTTCGAGAGAGAAACCTTTCAAAACAATTGGATCCTTTTCAGATCGACTTTTTACACTTTTCAACATGTCTCTGAAAAAACACACAAGACAAGAAAAAGTACAGCCCAGCTCTTCTCTTCTGGCTCAAGAAGACAACATTCAAGTTCAGAAGATGTGCTTGGAAGAAATGCATGAGGAAAATCTCATGAACAAGCACAACAAGCAACACCCGGCCCAGGCAGAGAGCTTTTTTAAGAAACAAAATGAGATTATCTTCCTCAGAAAAGAAAATGAGAGAAAGACTGCTGAAGTAGATAAATTGTTCAGCCAGCTTCTTGAAAAGGAAGATATTCAGAAGGAGAAAGAAATGAAACTCCTAGACGTGCGTGGAAGGAACTTTGAGCTCAAAGCAAAGCTTGACAAAGCAATAGAAAAACTCAAAGAAATCCTCCATCAGAAGAAAAATGAGAAAGACAAGGACAAAAAGGATCAGGAGCTGCAATTAAAGCTTGATGAAGCTCTGCTAAAAAATACAGAAATCCTCCAAGAGAAGAAACGGCAGGACATAGAACTCCAAAACTTGGGGATAAAATACAAAGCACTGCTTCAAGAGAAAAAGCAACAACAGAAAGAAAGCAAGCTTGAAAGCGAGCTGAAAACAAAGCTTGATAAAGCACTGCAAAGAAATGACCAGATTCTTCAAGAAAAAGAACAACTGGAAATAAACCAGAGAGAAATGCGGTGCCAACTCCAAAGCATGGAGAAAAAATGCAGAGTCCTGGAAGTAAAACTTGATAAAACTGCAGTGCACAAGCAGAAATATCAAGAGCTGCTTCAAGAGAAAGAACAACAGGACATAAAGCAGAAAGAAGACAAACGTTTACTCCTGGACTTTGAGAGAGAAAACCGAAAGCTCCAAGAACTTTACAAGAAAATGAACTACAAAGCAACTGAGATGGAAGGAGAGAAGGAGAAACTGCAAAAACAGTGCTCAGCAATGCAGAGTCAGCTCAATGACATGCTGACAAAAACACCGAACTCGAGGAACTTTCCAACACCTTGAAGCGCAAAAACACTGAGGTGCAGCTGCTAAAGCAGCAGCTCGAGAAAACAAATGAAGACCTGCAGTGCAAACTTCAAGAAACCGAGAGGAAAAGTCAGCAGTTAGAAGACACTCACAACAAACTACAAGAGCGTTATACAGAGATGCAGGAGGCAAAGGTAATGCAGGAGGAAACATCTAAAGAGTTGAAAGGAAGGCTTGAAGACAAACAAGCCGAATTAGAAGAAGTGGAGAAAACATGCAGGAGACTTGAGAAGGAGAATACCGAAACAATCGATCAGCTGAGAACCCTGATCCTAGAGAAAAAGGTTCTCGTGGAAAAGCTCCTGGAAAAGAAGAAGAAACGGTTCCGCTTTTTCTGGAGGAAGGACACTCCTGCTTTTTCTTCTCTTTCTACTTTTTCCACTGCTGATGTCACCTCGTCTTCCTCCACCTCTGTTCCATCGTAATTTTGACCTCCCCTCTCCTCCCCTCTCCCTCTCTCCTGACACCTTGACACCTCTCCCTCCCCTAGCTCCCTAGAACTCCTAACACCTGTCCCATCTCCCTCCCCCCTCTCCCTCTCTTTTCACCCTCACTCCCCAACCAGTCCCGACAGTTGACTGCCCCCTCTAGAGCCTGGTTCTGTCATAGGTTTCTTCCTTTAAAGGGAGTTTTTCCTATCCACTGTCGCACCTAGTGCTTGCTCAGAGGGGATTATTGGGGCTTTCTCTCCTCTATCTCTTTCCTCCTTTCTATCCCTTTCTTTTACCCTCTACTTTACACCCACCCTCCCACCCTTCTATTTCCTCAATAATTTAATAATAAACACAATTGGCTGCATTTTAAATGTGTCTGATCAATGTCTTCATTCAAGAATGAATTGTCTTTGTTACGGAGTCATGTGTATTTTGTGTTTTCCTCGGGCTGGTGATCCTCACGGTTGTTCAGCCAAGAATTCCAGATTAGCAGCAATAACTTCAATTCATTGACATTTGCAAGCATTCCTTTATACACAGCATTTCAGTCAGGTCGAGGTCTGGCCCTTCCAAACAAGCCATACTTGTTTGGTCTTTTTCTAATTAAACTGTCATGAACGTTAACATTTAACATGCTGTCTGAGGCCTGTAGAGGCTCATTGCCTCATTGGCTAATGCACAAGTTTAATTCAAGGTAAGCAGAGTTTTATTGTCAACCCAACAACATGCACTCAAGTATACAGTGCGACGAAATATCATCGTCCTGGATCAAAGGTGCAAACTGTAAAAATAAAATGGGAAAATTCAAATATACATACATGCTTACAACTATTCAGAAATAAGATAATCTAAGAGTAAGTACAACAGTATTGTACTTGAACAGTGATAAGATATAAGCTCTGTCTTGAGTGTTGTTGTTGACGTTCTCTATGCACTGTTCTTGAGCTAATATGAAGGCCACATGAAGTATGAGGCCCTTTCTCAATTCTAAGTACGCAAGTACGTGCTCGCGTTCTCGGCGAGACCGGACTTGCCGAGACCGCACAGGATTACGGATTTGCCGAGAACGCGAGCACGGACTCGCGATTTGTACAATTGGAACACCAGCGTACTTGATGATGTCACAGGTCCGGAGTTTTTACTGCCGTTCCGTCTTAATTTAACTGTGAGTAACATGTTATGAAGCTTAACTTTAATCACAGCCAAACCGGTTTAGCCAGGAACAAATAAAACACTGAATAAACCAAACATTAACATTTAGAAGTGATCTAAGTTACTTATATATAATGTTTAACCTCAGTAGCGAAATCTCTATTAATAAAAATAGTGTACATGTATGTCTTAATAAAAACAAGCAGGTGAGATGTAGAACGCCTTTATTTTTATTTTAGTACAATAGACAGCTACTGGGGTTTGTTTGGGGTTTTTTTAGTGTATAAATCTCTTTCTTCAACAGCAATGGGGTGAACGTAGAAGGAGCAACACACAAGCAGGTGGTTGATCTGATCCGGGCCGGTGAGCGAGAGCTGGTGCTGACTGTGCTGTCCGTTTTGTAGTTGGACACAGCCAGTCACAACTCAAGGCTTATGCGATTGTTACATTCATGAGGTATTTATATTCAGGTCTGTGAGCAACCTAATGTTCTGGATATTATAAATACTATCTTGCTGACTAAAGATCACCGCCTTTTCATTTTCATTTTTCCACTTTAACTCTTCCAGGTGTATAATGTGTACATGGCAGGCAGACAGCTGTGCTCCAAGCGTTATCGGAAGTTTGTGATTCTACACCAAAACCTGAAGAGGGAGTTTGCTAACTTTACTTTCCCCAAGCTGCCTGGAAAAATGGCCTTTTTCCCTTTCAGAGCAACAGCTGGATGCACGATGCAGAGGCCTGGAGGAATATCTAGAGAAAGGTGAGGAAGAGAGAAGGACAATCAGGCTTTCTTCATAGGGCTAGCACACAAACAGTTCACTCACTTACAGTTGCCTTCCATATTGTTTGGAACAAAGATACAGCTTTGTAGTTTTGCTTCTGAACGCCACCACAGTTGATTGTAAATCAAACAAACAACACGTGATTATTCAAGGAGTTTTCCAAATCATGCAAGAGTTCCTGTCTGAATCAGATGAGGTAGAAAAAATAAAAATAAACATGTCTTTTTGCCCGTTCCCCGCCTGTGACTCACTACGCTGGGTTTGGGGTTTGTTTAACCTGAGTAGCGTAAAGACCGCTGGGGGGTTGAAAACGATGTGCCGGGAGTCCGCTGTTCTCGCGTGATCCTCGACCTCGCTGTCTGCTATGGAGCTGGCGGGTCACACACGTCTCCAAAAACGTCAGAGCACGTTTGGAAATATATGATATCTTGATAAATCGAGCAGATATTTGAAGTTTACACAGCTACATTCCTACTTGAAAATAACTTAAAAGTTTATTTTGTGACCCAGAAAGAGTAATATTTAAAAGTTTTCAGCCCCGCTCGTCCGCCATTGCCGCGTTTGAGTTTTGGACGAAATGCATTCTGGGATATTTAGCTGTACCAAGTACACACAAGTCACCACCGATGCATGCTCGATAAAACAGGCGGAGCGAGAACACATCCGGGACTTTTTCGCGTCCTCGGCTTGATGTGTACTTCGGATTGGAACAGTACTTGGTCTCTGACTGATGACGTTCACGAGTACACGAGAACGCAAGTACGCACAAGTACGCATATTGAGAAAGGGCCTGAATGTCTGTAACGCTCAAATCTGCATGTGGTTTATAAAAAACTGTAGTTTCCTCATTCTGAAGAGGTGAATTCAGAATGTGTGTGCGTGTCAATCAGGCTGTGTAAAGTGACAGCACTAGGCCTTTGCCATTAGTGATGGGTCGCGAATGAAACGGCTCTTAGAGCCGGATCTTTGACGTGAACGAAGTGAGCCGGTTCCTTATTGCAAGCCGTGGGGTTTCTTCTTTCTTTCTCTCTCTCTCTCTCGCACACTTTTTTCCCGCTTCACTCCGCACGCGAGCCATGTGCTTTGCACTGGGAAGAGGGGGGAGGGGCGATAGTTACACTGGCAGTAGCACAGGAACAGAGCAGGAGAGAAGGAGAGAGAAAGAGAGCCAGGGACAACAGTGTCACATTAGAAAGGTATAGTAATCATCCACAACTATTTTCAGTTGCTGATGATAAAGGATTCAGAAAGTTTATTCATGCAGGTCCATATGACAGAGAATATGCATCTTCTTTTTGTTTTCATATTTTAATTTATATTTAATTGTGTTGTGGTTTGAAGTGTTTTGTGTTGTTTCACTTTAAATTTGTGTAACGGAAAGCTGAAAATTTAAATAGTTAAAAGTTGAAATGTATTATATGATTTATTTATTACAGTTTATGTGGAGTGAATAAATAAAAGTATATTTACGGTGGCCCCTAGAGACAAAGCACGTACAAATACGAACTCCAAAAGACGTAAAAACTCCATCGCATGTACAAACCCCGAAGCACGTACAAAACACAACAGAAGTGCTCCAGGATGCTGGGCGCAGTGTTGATGTTTTGTTACCTAGTGGCTACACAAGCCAGCAAGTACCAACGACTGGATTTGGTGTGTGGTAGTAACAGGTAAATGAAATTTTTTTTAAAATATATGAGTGCCTGTGTATAAATACACAAACAACACACATATGCTTTCAATTGTGTAATTTAAGTGATCTAGGTAGCTCTGTTTTGGAAGTTCAGTTAATGCTAGGAATGTGTTTTGGAGTTTGTGCATGCTTTGTCTCTAGGGGCCACCCCATATATTTATATATAAACATATATAAATAAAACCACTTTTTTTACATTAGTAATTCCTTTTGTGCATAATTTTATATTATTGTTAATAATAAATTAATTAAAGCAACAAAACAATCTGAAGAGCCGGTTTGGAGCCGAAAGAGCCGGCTCTTTTTAGTGAGCCGAACCGAAAGAGCCGGTTCTCTAAAAAGAGCTGGAAATCCCATCACTATTTGCCAAATGGTGTAAGGCTGAAATTAAGTGCCTTTATAAGGTACTTGGCCACAGAGTGATTGGCAGAAAGCGATAACATTCCAACAAAGAACGGGTGTGCTGAAATGAGCGCCTGTGGGTTTTCAACCTGGTTTATTTCTTAGTGCTGCTGAACATCTTTTAAACAGATCAGTTCCTGTTTTACACAATGCTACCTTTGTTTTTACTAAAACTTGTTTATCCTCTTACTGTTCACCACTTAGGTGACACTATTCCCTTAAAAGTAAATACTGATACAGATTGAAGGCCGTGGCAGAGGTTTGCACTCTGAGTGCTTCTTGTTTGTTCTGAAATTGCTCACAGTCGTGCTTTTACGTTTCCTTTAACTTAACCTAATTTTTATTTTCTTTGGGGATTTTTTTGTTTCAATCATTGTTGTATTTATATAAAATTTTAATTCTTTATTCTTTTGATCCTCCTGCTGTAACACATTAATTTCTGTTGTGGGATCAATAAAGTATCTCTCTGTCTGTCTATAGAGTGATCCGTGGACGTTGTGGATTTATTATCAGGTCGGCTTCAGCTATTTTTCCAGCTGTTTAAACTTCCATACGCTGAATGTTGCTTCTTTGTATTACCTTCTGGGTACTGCATCTTCTCATATATTAGCCTTCCTTGTTGGTATAGCAGCAAGTATCCCCACCGGTCGGTCCTGTGGTAGATCTTTATTTGATGCCTCGATGGTGAGATTTTTTTTGATTAGCATTCAAACATCTCAGTGAATACACAATAAAAATTACCACAAAGCAAGAAAGCACGAGACAAGGCTAATCAAAAGGTATTGTCTGAAGCATATGCTTATGACGCCAACCCTTTTAACAAAAGATCTTTTAGCATGCGGCTCCTGTACACAGGGCTCGAAGCAAAGAAAAAAACAAAGCAAAGCAACAAAACAAAAAAAACAAACAAAAAACAAAACAAAAAAATGTTCCACCTTCGATAAGTAACTACATCAAAGCAAAACAACCAAGAGTTTCAGTGTTATTATTATTGCTCTTTTCATTCTTGATTTATATATTTTTCTAATACTCTAGGGTTATCTTGGTTTTTTTTTTAAAGAAACATGTTCCCCTTGAGTCATATTGACTCTCTCTGACTTTAAAACAGCTTCTGAGTGCTGACGCAAAGCAAGTTATTTTGTGCTTTATACATTATCTGTGCAATTGTATATTCAAATAAATCATTAAATTTTAAGGGTATTCAGATTAATAAACAAAATGTTAGTTGGTTCTATATAGTTTGAAATAATCAGTCTCTTACTTAATTGCTAGGAAGGTACCATGTGGGTGTGCACACTGTGGGTAGCTTTTGAACCATCATATTGTGCCAGGGTTTTTCTACTTTTCCACTTTCACCACTGGTTAACTCACAGGGTTTACTGCTTAATGAGGGTTAATGCCAGTAGATACAGTGTAATCATTTTTCTATAAAATATATTACTATACTGTATAAGAGTATTAACTACATTACAAATGTATCCTCTGTCCTGTAGGGTAAAAGATGCAAAGCCCCAAACACCCACAACAGACATCATTATTCAGAGAGCTGTGATATTTGGGGCACCTTGGATGGAGCGTTCCCGTATTAATAGTGTTTGCTCAGGCTGTTAAGTTGCTCCAGCTTCAGGAGGGGATTCCACAGGAATGAACACTTGTCCTGTTAAAAACAAGAACATATTTATCATTTTAACAACTCTATTGGTCAGATTTACTACACTGTAAAAAAAAATCCTGAACAAACAGTAATATTCCTGCAGCTGGGGCGCCAAAATAATACCATAAAAAAATAGAAAATAACTTTCTCATAAAAATACGGTTATTTTCAGTAATGACAATACAGTTTGTTGCCCTAATTTTACATGGGGAATCACAGTCTATTTGTGTAAATTTAATGCTATTCTAGAAGAACAGAACAAAACTGTAAAATACACAGTACAATACTTTTATATTAGGATTTTTATTACAGTGTATGCAAGCAAAACTTAATGTTGTTGCAACCACAGAAAAGGCCCAATTTATGAACACAGCAATAGCAGCATACAAAAAAATGATGATGATGATGAGGCAACAGATCTACTTAATAATGATATGTGCTGTAGTAAGAATAGGAATAGTTTTTTTTTTAGGATTCTCTTGAAAACAGAAAAGAGACGAAGTCAAGAAAGTTACTGAGTGCTGGGCACACCGAGGCTTTCAGTCTTAGATCAGAATATGTTATATTATGTACACTTCTAACAAACTCCTTACTTTGACACACAGTGATGTAGTAGATGATTCCAGATATTGCAATAACAAATCCAATCACCAGTCCACACAGTCCAACAGCTATCTGAGTTTGTTGTTCCACTGGGAGGGAGGGGTCTGAAACAGTGAGATAAAAGTGAAACTTGTAATTATGCAGCTTCAGTTTTATCTCTCTGACTTTAATTGGCATCACAGCAGCAAACTTACCCCAGACCACAAACATCGGCTCGGAGAGACCAAGGTGTTCGACCATGCAGGCAATTTTTTCTGCTGAAGTTGGGATGTACTTCAGGTGAGAATGAGTCTGGTAGCACCAGTCACCATTTGGCATCACGTCAGAGTAATTGACATCTGTGGTCACCTCCTTGCCGTTCCTCATCCACCTCATTCTGATTTGTTTTGGATAAAAGTTGTAGGCACTGCACACAAGCGTAGATGCGTGCTCGCCATTAGGCCTTTTCAAGGATTTTAGTTTGACGGTGGGTATAGTTGTCAGATTATCTGTGAAAAAATAAGTTTCATGCTTCTGATTAAGAAAAATACATTACTGCACCTTCTCTGTTCACAGATGTATTCCTCAAATGTACATAATGTAATGTATCGTGGCTATGTTGTCAATTATGGCATACTTGGGGTGGCTGTAGCTCAGGTGGCAGAGCAGGTCAGCCACTAATCAGATGGTCGGTGGTTCGATCCAGGGCTGCCTCCTGGCTGCATGCCAAATATCCTTGGGCAAGATACTAACCCCGTGTTTGCCTACTGGTGGTGGTCAGAGGGCCCGGTGGCGCCAGCCTCGCCTCTGTCAGTGCGCCCCAGTGCAGCTGTGGCTACAATGTAGCTTGCCAGTGTGTGAATAGGTGAATGACTGAATGTAGTGTAAAGCGCTTTGGGGTCCTTAGGGACTGAGTAAAGCGCTATACAAATGCAGACCATTTACCATTTACTTGGAAATCAACTGTAATGTCATGCAACTGAGCAAAACTCATAAAGCACTATTGTTATTTACAGTAAAACAAATATAATAATCTTATGTCATCAAAAATGATCATAAAAATATTTGATGTAAAAGGTTCACAGCATCAAAACCCTATTTAACATTTGATTTAAAACATTATTAAGAAACAAATCTCTTACCTACGGATTGGATGGCATCTAACATGTCCGTACACAACAGTTTCCTTTCGATCTTTCTTGTTAGTGCATCAAAGGGATCCCTGTTCCACCATTTTGCTGCTTCAATTGAATACGCTGTGAATCCCGTCCAGTTGCCTCTTGTGCTGTTGTACTCCATCATCAAGTTCTTATTAAAAAAAACTAGTTAATATGTACTCGGTTTCTTCAAAGTGTGACCCTTTGAATGTACAGCATGCTCTTACTTGGTAAAAGTCTTCATCTGTGAGAACTGAAATAAAAAGAAAGAAATGTTCTGATGTTAAAAATAATAATTACTTTAAAATTTCACTGATTTGTTCAAAGAGAAGATTTTTGCAGCTCACCTGGACTTAAAAGAGAGAAAGCCACACACAGGACAAACTTATGAGTGTTCATGTTTCGCGTGTGTTGTACGATGATTCAGGAAGAAGACTTAATCTGCAGCATTTATATGTTCACCAAAACAAGGAAATGAAAGCAGATAGGCTGATATAACAGCGAAACATTTAGTGGAAACTCCCTCTATCCATTACATTTATGACAATAACTGCTAATAATTACAACTTTGCTCCTTTGTTCAGCTAGCACTTGTTTGTGCACTAATACTAGGTGAAGTGACTTATGTGGACAATCAAACTGTTGTTTGACAATCAGAAACAGTAGAGAGACGTGGGAGCATTTTGTGTTGAGACTATAAAGAAGAATGTTTTAAACTGTAGATCAAATCTGCATAAATCATAAAGATTTGACAAGTTGGTTAATTTCCTCACCAAGTTTTACTTCATGTTACAGGCTAATGTTTTCTGGCTTTCATTCTTCTGCTGTTCTGGACCTTTGGCTAAAATTTCACCTCATTGTTGTTCTGTTAGATTTTCTAAATAGATGCTAAATAGATGAAAAATTCATATAAAGAGACCGATATTAACCTGACTCTAGCAGCAAATGAATGTTTAGAGGTTAAAATAGATTACAGAATTCAGCCTGCAGAAAACGATATGCTTTCACTTTTCTTACAGCTCTTGTGAAAAACATTACTGAAGTTTTCTTTTCAGTAAAGTGAACTGTATCACAAAACCTCATATTCTGTTGCGAAAAAAAATCTCTGCAACTAACTACAAACTTCTTACAAACTATTATTTCATTTCTAGTAATTTTCCAGAATGTATTCACTTGTATCGATTTATTTACATGTTTTTTTTTAACTTAGTTTTCACATCCTTGTTAATAATAGTGGAGTAAGTAATAATACTTATGAAGTGTAATGACTAACAATCAGGTAGATGTCTCAGCAACAATGTGTTTAATATGTTTATGGATACATTATTTTTTTCTAGTCTGGTTTTTACTTTATTTCAGTTGAAAGAAAAACAGCATAGTTTTTTTCAAGTTTCATTCTACTTGACATAATGCACCTAATATGATTTTAGAGTGATGGATTATTAATAAGGCATATTTCAATGCTAGAATACCAGTAATGCAGACTTCAAGCTCTGCACTAATGCTACGAACCAAAAATGTGCAGCAGCGCGTCACGTCTGAAAATGTCTGTGGGAAAAGTGCTGATATCACCGTTCAGCTTTATTGCACAGTATGAAAGCGAAAGGTTTATTATAGAAACACTGATATATCAGCCAAAGAACGATGGTTTTATTTTTAACAGCATATGAGCCGTTAATGCCATTACACAGGTGATGCAAATACGAGACAGTTCATGTTTGTCAGTAACCACAGAGGAAAGTTATGCCTGCTGGAAACAAACGAAGGATTATGCAGCTCTATACAATATGTAGTATACATCTCAAGCAGTGCGACCAGAGCGCACTGCTTTAAAAAAAAAAGCAGGTTCCTAAGAAAACTCCAAGCAATCCAAGACTCAGGCCAAATCCACAGAAGACAGCTGGACCATTGCTGATCTCCTCTGTTTCAACCATCTCTAGAGAACAGCAGAAAGAAATGATGAATTCTAAACATTAAATCGTATTATATGTGCTAAAATATCTGAAGCTTCTTTGTTCTCACCCCAAAACTTGGTCTGAGGCTCATCCATTGCTTCATGTTCCACAGTGCAACTGTAGATGTCTCCTTTCTCTGGCACAAAGTTGAGGTAGGACAAAACATAAGCAGTTCCATCAGGATTGGACAAAGTTTTGATGAAAGGGTCTTCCATTGTTACTTCTACATCATTCTTGGTCCACTTAATGTTGATCGAAGGAGGAAAAAAGCGGTTGATGAAGCAGATGAGGGTATTATCTTCCCCTGTTATCACTTCATCTCTGGGGTAGATCATGAATTCTGGTGGCTCTAAATTAAATGAACACATGATTTGCTTAAATTCAACTTTCTGGTTTAAAAAAAAAGATCTAAAAAAACTTGCAGCATAAACAGTGAAAACTGAACAGGAAACATAACAGTTTGAGTTTCACTGACCTTTTTTCTTTATTACAGACTTGTCTGGCTTCCATCTGTACATGTCATTTTTGCACATGCTTCGATATAATACTGCATATTTGTAAGCGTCGGGTGAACGAAAACTTGTGGGAATTTTGCTCTCCCAAATCAGAAGATCTTTTTTAAAGTCTGCATAGTATATTTCATCACCATCAAATGCTGTACAGATTTGAGTATCACTAGAGTCAAAACATCCATAGATGTGACAAAGTGTATGACTTCCTAGGATCAAGTGACAACACAGTTAAAAACACAGTGTTAAAATACTCTAAATTACAAACAAATAAATCATAAATAAATCTTACACGATGAAAGTTATAGATGAACCAGTAATGGGGAAATAATGATACCTACCTTCAGCCTCGACACAGGCTGCTGTAGACAAAATAAATATAATTTTAAGGAACATGTTCAGTCTGTACTTCGCGGTGTTCTGCCTTGTGTCTGTCGTCTTATATCAAAGTTGACGGTGATACAGGACAACTTCCTCATTGTTAAACAAATCATATAAATGTTGCTGGGCAGAACAGGAGGAGGGGAGGAGTCAAATAGAATTTGCTGAACAACTTAAACTAAGATAAATACAGTTTATGGAGCAAAAAAACAAATCCAGATAAATCCATTCACTGTGGTTACATTGAGAATTGAATTTTTTTTAAATTGTCATTTGTGCTTAGGAACATATAATAATTTATGCTTAGAAATATTTAATCATTTGTATGCTGATAAAAATCACATTCTTATTAGGTCTGATTAGATTCTGTGTGCACTTGTGCACCATGAGATGAGAGGAAGCAGCCTCGACATTATAATTTCCATTATAGCTTTAGGAACTAGATTGTTCTGTTTCTTAGAGGTGCAAGACTTCCCACCTTCAAATGTGCATTTGAAATATGACATATTGCAAGTTCCTGTTTTTATAGTTTAGCAAGATGCTTACTTCTGCTTTTCTGCATACCTCAAACACACAGTTTAAGTTCATTGAAAGGTCGAATGTCTATGTATAGTATGGCCGGAAACACATACACACATGCACAGGATACAGACACTGGTGTTGTTCAGATATGTCTGCTTAAGACTGTCATGTGTATTTGAAATTGCATATTCATGAATGATTGCTTGCTGACAAGCAACAACTGTTGAGGCTGCAGTGAGTGCAAAGGTGGAAGTCCTCCTAAGACCACAGAAAGAGAAAAATAAAAAAGAAGAGGGGCGCTTACAAGGTAATGTATACTATCTCTCTGAAAACACCTATATGAAACTGTTGCAGTTTTTGAGCCATGGGCCCCGCCCTGTAATGGTGACGAAATTATGTCAATACATTACCTTTAAAGACAGAGAATCAGAGAAAAACATTGTATACTTTACTATGTTATTAACACTGAATTTGCAGTGGCCCTTGTTTGTTTGTTGTTTTCCACTTTTTACAGTGAAAACGCCTGGTTTGAGAGTTCACAGCAAGATTTCCATAACAGTTTGCCTCTCAACAAGCGCCTGGCTTTATAAGATAGCATGAGAGCTGATATCTCACATTTGCAAGGGGTAGCTGATCAGTATGAAGTTGGTTAAAGGGGGGGCAGGGCTAAACATCTTAATTAGTCTGTACTAAATTTACTATATAAACTGCCTAGGCTACATGGAGTAGCAACAGCTTCTGGAAATGACTTTTATAACGCTCAGTTGCTTACAAATTATGCACATCACATATCCTCCTCTGGAAATGACCACTACAGACCCTTATATTGCCTTTGTCACCACTGTTTACAAACTGTACATGGTCTATAGAGATAAAGTAAATAGTGCATTTTCCCCATGTAATTTATATTATTTAAGCGTTTTGCTCACTTTTCTCCAAAAAGTGCTAAAAGTGAGAGTGACTGGCAGGGGCTAGTCAGCGAGGTAAGTGAGGGGGAGAGACCGTAAACAGCTGCAGACACTGACCGGTTTTATAGATGTTTCCCGGTGTCCATATGGAAACGAGCCTCGGTCTCTTAGCTTTCATACACCTGGACGTTCATTAATAGACGCATGACCTCAACGTTGTTTTGACACCAGTGGGCTCTTCATTGATGGGGTCTGCTAGCTATATAATATAAAATATCTATACAGATAAAGTAATTTATGAAATATTTTTCATGCATTATTTTTCAAGAAAAACACACACAGTAATGTTTATATATAATTTTATTGTATTGTTTATTGATATTTGAGCAGGCTGAGCCAGCCTGGTCATGTTAGGCTGACCTGTAACATCATCAATTACACTGGTGTTCCAATTGTACACAAATCGCGCTACCTTCTCGCATTTCTCCAGAATGCCATGTGAACTACGAAGTCGCAAAGAAGCGAGAATATGAGTACGGACTCGTGTACTTAAGAACTGAGAAATGGCCAATGTCTAAAGCAACTACGAAGTGCTGAAGAAAGAAGAAGAAATCCCACGACTCCCTGAACTCCATCGTCCTTATATCATAAAATATGTTGATTTTCAGGGACGAGATATCTTTGTCTGCAACTTTATGAATACACTCTGGAAGAATATATCAATAATAAAAACCATGACACACTGGTGTTAAAGAAACTTGTCAAACAGATTCTTGAAAGTCTAAAGGTGCTTCATTGTCAAAATCATTTGAATGGGAGTCCAACATTTAATATGTACAGTTTGGATCATGTTCAAGATGTGTACAGATTCTCTGTGAATGGTACTCATGGCCATTGATCAGTGGTCTTTGATCAGTGGGTTTTGGTCAGTGGTTGTTGATCAATGGTCATGAGAATTTGCATAATTAAGATTAAGGAACTGACCTCCCAGCCCATTGTTCCTCAGTGGGCTGGTTTCAGTCATTATGCAAATGTACTGTTTATAGGATTGGGGAAACCTGCAGTCAGCTGAGACTGAAGAAGTCACTTGGATGAGTGACGAAACCTTTCTCCCACAAAACTCTACGTCCAGATGAACAGAATCAACTTTTAGAGATTATGCATGGTATTTATCTCATTTTAAGGGGATAATTGCTTTGTTTAACATTGTATTTTATATACTAATCTTTTTTCCACATTTTCTCTCTATTTCTCTCAGATCTAGTGTCAGTGTTTTTATGTTACCTCCATTGAAATTATTTCTTCTTTTCCACCTGTTGATTCAGCTCAGGATAGTCATTCCACCTCTTGACTTTATGACCTGTTGAATATCAACTCCTTCATAGTTTTCTTAAATTAGTAACATTTCTCAGTCACCTCTTGAACATGGGCTCTCAGTCATCTCAGGCACTTCCGTTACACAAGTACTACTTCTATTCTCCTGAAAATATAGCTAGCATTCATAAAAGTGAAAAAAAAAAAACAGTACTGTGATTTAATCTATTTGGATTTATCGTTTTTAGTTAAGTATTTCTATTCCTTCAACATCTTACAATGCTGTGACTGCAGCCATTCCCCAACTCTTGCCTTATGAGCACTGGGGTCTGTAGTTTGATGGTTCCACAGTGCCTCCCTCTGGCTGTGATGAAATACCACACCCCTCTGCTCTTTCCATTACTGATAGAGTCTAACAAGCAGTCCGACGGGAAACAAAAGACACAAGCAATTCGTAGCAGTAGACATGTTATTGAAAGCATTAAGGGACTTTGTTCTGTTTGAATAGTTGTTTGAAAAGTTTTGCATGTGTTTATAGTAATCATTTTCCAAATGCTGGTAGGATGAGATATATTATTTTCAGGGAGTTTGTAGTAGTAGGAACTTTATTTTTAATAAATATTAATAACAGCACTTTTTAAAAACAATTTTATGATTAATTGTATTATAGCACTGTTTCACCATATTATTAGGCAATTCATTGTTTTCACATATGTAAATCACTTTTATTTAACATAAAAAGTATAAAAAGGTACATAAGATTTAATGTAAATTTAAATCTACAAACTTTATCTTAATTTATTGTCTCATACAAATACTGAAATTTTCTGTATTTTAGTCACAGAGCATTTCTCTTTTTTTTTCTTTACAAGACTCATTTTTTTCTGCTGCCCCACCTGCTGGACTGTTATATGTGTTTGTTTGTTTGCTGATATTT